CTATGAGCTGTATGCTGTGCAGGCAAATGAATAGAGCCTATGGTGAAAATATAAACCAATTTTGAGCACAGACAGACCTAAAACAGGGCTACAAAAGCATGAAAAATGGAATGCTAACTTGTGCCATGTCTGATGCAATGCAGATGTAAAGTAGTAAAATAAAACTCCTGGATTCCAAATAGTCTACTCTAGTACTTATTCTCAAAATCCGGCTTTCCATAATCAGAAGACACTCTTTTAAAAGCAGCTGCATCTGAAATCATAGCCAGTAAAATATTTCAGAAGAAATATGAAACACTCATCTCTTAGGGTTAAAGAAAAAGGGTCAAATGTATTTCTTCATCTCTTAACACGTAGGAAGGGGCTTGCAAAGAAGATTTGTAAATATGACTTACCCTAAATTATGCATAGTGAACCTTTCCCAACGCTGTAAGAATTTACATAATTTAAAGATTTGTATATATATATTTTTTTTTTTGGAAAATGTTTTATTATACTTTAAGTTTTAGGGTACATGTGTACAACGTGCGGGTTTGTTACATATGTATACATGTGCCATGTTGATGTGCTGCACCCATTAACTCGTCATTTACATTAGGTATATCTCCTAATGCTATCTCTCCCCCCCAAGATATGAATATATTTTTTATAACTTATAGATTCTTTTCAGGCCCTCGAAAACCTAGTAATTTTCTTATCGGTTAAGATTTGTGTAATACCACTACCCTCACATGAATTACTCCTCCACCCCCAGCCTTGTAGAGAAGCATAATTTTTTTTTTTTTTTTTTGAGATTGAGTCTCACTCTGTCGCACAGGCTGCAGTGCAATGGCATGATCTCGGCTCACTGCAACCTTCGCCTCCTGGGTTCAAGCGATTCTCCTGCCTCAGCCTCCCTAGTAGCTGGGATTACAGGCATGCGCCACCATGCCCAGCTAATTTTATATTTTTAGTAGACACGGGGTTTCACCATGTTTGCCAGGCTGGTCTCGAACTCCTGACCTCAGGTGATCCTCCTGCCTCAGCCTCCCAAAGTGCTGGGATTCCAGGCATGAGTCTGGCCTGTCTCCTGTTTCTAACAGTTGTATCTTTGTCCTTGATTCCCCCTCACACCTGTTCTGGGCATCTGAGAGGTCATTACCTCAATCATTCCTTCTTGCTGCTTCTCTTCCCTGCTGTCTTCACTCTTGCCCCTTCACCAACTCCTTCTAACATCTGCCTAACAAACTTTGGTCTGTCCAATCATGTACATGAAACAAAAACAAAACTCAACTTTCATTCAAACCAAAATCCTGTTTCTATTTTTTGAAATGGACAACTTTATGAAAAGAATGATCTATAAAATTCAGCTGCCTCCATTTTCTTCTTATAAATTCTTCATTCCTAACAATCTGGTTTATAGTTAAACTGCTCACCAGAAGATTATGCAAATGGCATCCCATTTGCCAAACTCCATTGATCTTCCTATAATCGTATCTGACATCACTGGTCATTTCCTTATCTCAACATTGTATCTTCCTTAACTCTGAGACATTTTCAGACCTCTCTTCTCTATGCCTCTTTCTTGCCTCTTCCAGCTTCTCCAAAGTTCTAAAGAGACGCCCACTACATACTAGATTTTAAAACCTTTCTGAGTACTTGCCTTAAGTATGCAAGGCACTATGCTGTGGAGACAAAGCAGCTTTTAAGAGGGGTCTAACCAAGCAGGCTGGGTAATAGGGTTTGGCTGCCCAGGGCCAAGCTTAGGCAAATAACAGAAAAGGGCAAAGGGTAAGTGTAATTTCAGATCATTCGACAGCACTAAAATTTAGGTCAGAAGACCCAAATTCAGTTGACAAAATGAAGTACAGGAATAGCACCCAAACAGGGGACAGGTGAGGTAACAAATGGGGAAAGAGCTAGGAGGGAGGAGGGCTCTTGCCAGATGTGAACGAAGCTGAACTTGTCCTCAGTCGGCCTATCTATGTCACCAGACTGACTTAAGAGTAAAGTCAAAGAAGACTACAAAAAGTAAAATAAAATAGGGTGCTTGTTCTCATACGATGCCTCAGCGTTTTCTGTGAAATGTGCATAATGATAGTATCTACCTCACAGGATTAATTGAAACAATATATGCAAAGAACTAAACCCTGGCCTGACAGGTAACAAATGTTAGCTATCATTATTAATATTCTATCCTCTAAGCTATTTAACATAAAGCTTAAGTAAATATAATTAAGTCATTCCAGAATCAAATCTAATTTATTTCTTAAGTATTTAGCATACTCAAAAGTACCCCATATTAGTTAATACTGTAACAGACCATTTAAAATAGGATATAAACTTGGGTGTAAGACTCAAGGGGAATTTTCTCCTTGCTGAGCCACTAAAACAACTCTTCACACTGATCACCAAAAGCCTATTTTCAGGACTTTAGGATCCCTTTTTAGCTTCTTTTTAACTACTTTCCAACCTCTCAATACTTTCTTGCCCTTTTGATTCTAAGATGGCATAGCCTTTAAAGCAGGCTCCCCTTCTTCCGGCTGTCTTTTGAAGTCTAGTATTTCTTAGGTTCACTCCTGCTTTTTCCTCCTTTTCAAAACCTTTCCAATATGTGACACTACCTTAGTGTACCATTAGTGGCTTAAATGGTATCCTGGTTCCTACTTTCTCCTAATCTTAGTCTGTCCTTCATGCTGCCACCAGAATTTTTTTTTTTTTAATGCCAAATGTTTGTGAAAAGACCTCCATTATCTCCTGTTGTAAGAAAAAGCCCTAAACGTCAGCATGCCACACAAGGCCCTTCATTTTGGCCCCAACCTGTCCCTCCAACCTCATCTCATTTTGCTCACCTGCTCACCCACAGCTCCAGCCACAGGGAAATGTTTGCCATTACTCAGATAACAGCATGACTTTTCACAAATCTCTTGCCTTTCCACATTCTTCTTCCGTGAATGCCGTTTTCTCCTGTTCCCAACAATGTTCTGGTTTAGCCCCTTTCTCTATCAAGCATTTATCATACTGTATTTTATTATTTTATTTTATTATTATTTGAGATGGAATCTTGCTGCGTCACCCAGGCTGGAGTGCAGTGGCGCGATCTCTGCTCACTGCAACCTCTACCTCTCGGGTTCAAGCGACTCTCCTGCCTCAGTCTCCTAAATAGCTGGGACTACCGGCATGCACCACGATGTCTGGCTAATTTTTTTTTTTTTTTTGTATCTTTAGTAGAGATGGGCTTTTGCCATGTTGGCCAGGCTGGTGTTGAACTCCTGACTTCAAGTGATCTGCCTGCCTCGGGCTCCCAAAGTGCTAGGATTACAGGCATGAGCCACTGCACCCGGCCCAAGCTGCATTTTAAGCATCTGTTTACATGTCTATTTCCCCAGGAAAATAGAAACATCTCAGGTACAGGGAAATGTCCTTTTCTTCTTTATAGCTCCAGAATCTAGTATATCAAGCAAATGTTCAATACATATTCATTGAACTGTGAGCAATCAGCAAACGTTAAAATGATTTTTAAAAAACGATTCGCAGTTTTACAATTTCTCATTAGGTGGAACTGAAAGAAAAAAGATGCAAACGAAATACTCCAACTTAAATCTCAGGATTAATAACATGGTTGTTTTGAAGGACCAGAAGACACCTAAAGGACAGCAGGGCAGAACACTTAACATCTGGAACTCCAAAGTTGTATGATCACGGCCGTGGATATACATAACATACATGGCCTTATAATTTCCCTCTCTCTCTCAAATCCTTCCACGGCTTTTTAAAGACAAAGCCTCACCCTTCATCTTGCCTACAAAGGCTGCGTAAAAAACTTGTAGCTAGGTCCCATGATGCATGCCTGTAGTTCCAACTACTTGGGAGGCTGCAGCAGGATAATCGCTTGAGCCCAGAAGTTCAACGCAGGCCTGGGCAACACAGCTAAACCCTACCAGTACTTAAAACAAACAAACAAACAAAAACAACAACAAAAACCACTTGCCTCCATCTACTTACAACCTCATCTCACAGTACTCTCCACTTTACTTTCTGAACTTCAGCCAGACTTAGGCCTTTTTTCCAGTACCGTTTTTGCACAAGCAGATCTGCACGTAATGTTGTTTTAAATACCCTACTACCCCAAACTAGTTCGCTCTTATCCTTTGGCTATCAGTCCAAAGATTCCTTAAGGTGTCTCCATCCTGTGGTAGCAGACTATAAGTCTGTTTTATTACATTATATTTGAACAATACAGTATGAATACAGTATAGGGTTATGACCATGGATTGTAGGCTCATAAATACGTCCTTAGGCATATTTATTTAACCTCTTCATGTCTCGGTTTCTTCACCCGTCAATTGTACTCGTAAGGTTATTGAAAAGATTAAAGGCGATAAAGGATGTAAGCACTTAGAATTGTGTTGATATGCAGTTCAAAGAGCCCAACACAAGTCGGTCATGATCACATTTACTTAATTTGTAGTCTCTATCATCCCCTTCCTCCCCTCCAGCCTCCGGAGTACCCATGCTCCTCTAGCCCAGAGGCCACACCAGCCTGGTCCTTTTTTGTATTCCTAGCCTCAGCACAGGGTTCGGAACATACCAGAATAATACGTATTTTAAAAATGACAAAAGCCTTGTGTCCCAATTTTGCTTCATTAGCCGAACGATCTCAAGCAAATCACTCAAATCACCTATGCCTCGTTTACCCTTCTGTGAAATGTAATAGCCACCTCAGAGAGATTTTGTGTTAAATAAGGCGATGTACCTACAAAAAGCACACTGCACATCTTAAAATGCCGTACAGACGGTAGATGTTTATTAATAAACCAGAGTCCGTGTCTTCCCTCCCCTCAGGCACGTCTCGTCCCGACCCCTCCCTCCTCCCAGCCCACACCCTTACTGCGCCCTTGGCCCTCCGTCCCTGGGGATTGCAAGCGTGGGAGCCTCGGCCCCGCGCAGCTCCCTCCAGCGTCCCGCGCCCTCCTTCCTTCCTCGCCCGGACGGACGCACTTCCGGCGGATGTGGGGGGGCAGCCCTCGGAAACGGAAGTGAGCCGCGGGGTCGACTGACGGTAACTGGGCAGAGAGGCTGTTCGCAGAGCTGTTGAAGATGGTGAGTGGGTACCCGGGCGGCCGGAGTTCCACGCGGGCTCGGGACTGTAGCTCGGCAGAAACAGGCAGTAGCCTCCCAACCCCTCCGCGGGTGGCGGCGGCGGCGGCAGCGTGGGGCTGAGGCCGGCCCTGGGGCGCCATAATCTGTCGAGTCACGGGGTTTGGGTGGGTCGTGACTGTCGCTGGGACCCGGCTGCGGCACTGGTCCCACTAGCAGCGGTTCGGCTTCATCCTGCTCCTCTTAGCTCGGTTTGCGCCCTTCCATCCCTTAGACCCCAGCAGGCCCAGACCTCCTCCCCTTACTTGGCGCAGATGTGGAAAAGGCAGCCGCGAAAGTGCAACGTTCTGTGGGGTGGCGCCGCCGACCCTTTCCTTGAGGGGTAACCTCTGAGAGCCCAGAGTCCTCAGACTCCTCATCTCCCCCAGTTCCCGCCCTTGTAACTGCCTGGTAACCAACCCACAACTATAGGTCGCATTTGTGTAACGCAGCTTTGCTCTACAAACTTTTTTGAGAGCTTGTAGTGTGCTAGGTGTTAGAGGGGGAAAAAACCAGACAGTTGCTATTCTCCGTTTGTCATTATTGTTAGTACATCTCCTCCCTCCCTCTCCTCCCCACCACTTTCTCTTTCTTTTTAACTTAGAATTTGTAATATTTGAGAAGAATACTGAGTCACCATTGCCACAGACTCTGATACCGGTACTGCTGGTAGGCCATCCATCCAAATCTAGAAAGTTTCTGTTGGTAAATACTGCTAATCATTGTTTAAAAAGTTTTATAGGCACTCTCAAATGTAACTAATAGTTAGGTTTTCGTAGATTTGCCTTTCTCGGCTCCTTCCTTTATTAGAAACGGTGAGCACTAATCCTGATATTTTACAGAAGGAAATTGGAAAAAATGACGATAATCCAGAAGTCAGAATTCACGTTTTCTTTGTGCATTGAAATCTTCTGTCACTTTACAATAAAGCAGTCCAGAAGGAGGAGAATGTTCATATAGGGAAGTAATAGAAGATACCTTTGAAAAGCAACAATCACACAGCTCTGCTGAAGGTCCCCAACCTGTGGTGGTTCAACAGTCTTCTGACTTTATGATGGTGTGAAATCCATACACAGTCAGTAGAGGCCATATTTGAGTACCCATGCAGCCATTCGGTTTTTCACTTTCAGTACAGTATTCAATAAATTACGTGAAATAACCCAATACTTTTTAATAAAGTAGGCTTTGTGTTAGATGATTTTGGCCAACTGTAGGCTAGTGTAAGTGTTCTGAGCACGTTTAAGGTAGGCTAGGCTAAAGCCTGATATTTAGTAGGTTGGGTGTGTTAAATGTGTTTTTGACTTTTGATATTTTCCATTTAAGATAGGTTTATTGGGAATTAACCCCATCATAAATCAAGGAGCATGTGTAGTCCTGGTAGGAGTTCAGCTCCTTGGTGTAGATGAGTAAACAAGGCCAGAGAGGTTGGTGCTTTGCTGGCAGTCACAAAGTAGGTTAGTGACAGTCCACACTGGAGTCCAGATTCTTTTTCTCGTCCACCATGGCTTCTTGTATGTAGGGGAGTTGGAACCAATTATGCAGGTTCTTTAGGTCCAGGCTAAGGAGTCTGAACTTTGTGCTTCACACATTGATGAACCAACAAAAATTTTATAGCAGTTTTGTTGGAGGAGGTTTTGTGCTTGAGGAAAACCTTGATATGCAGAACTGGAAAATGGGTGAGTCTAAAGGCAGCAAGACCCAGTAGAATGCTGTTGAAGTTATCCTTGCGTGATAGGCTAGGCAAGAGTGGTATAATGAAGAAACCCTGAAAAGGATAAAATACCTGACCAAATCAGATATACAAACGAATTAAGAAATAGTTCAAAGCTGACTTCTCACAATATTTTCTCTTAGAATAATATAAAATTTGATACTAAACTACTTGTAGCTGTTTTACATTTTTCTGCAGAATCGTAGGGATATTGGACTTGAGCAACAAGTGATTTAAAGTTAGCATCTTGGGCCATGCATGGCGGCTGACACCTGTAATTCCGGCACTTCGCGGGGTGCTGAGGCAGGAAGATCGCTTGAGCGCAGGAGTTCGAGACTAGCCTGGCCAGCATAGTTGAGACCTTATCTCCACAAAAAATAAAAAAATTAGCCAGGCGTGGTGTTGCATGCTTGTAGTCCCAGCTACTTGAGAGGCTGAGGCAGGAGGATTGCTTGAGCCCGGGAAGTCTAGGCTGCAGTTAGCCGTGATTGTTCGACTGTATTCCAGCCTGGACGACAGAGCAAGACCCTATCTGAAAAAGTAAATAAATAAATAAAGTTAGCATCTCGTGCTTTGCCTGTTGTAACACCATGTTTTTCTTTGCTTGTTTAATGTATCTTCATAAGATGAAGCCCTGGGAGGTAGACATGTATCTTCAGTATCTAGCGGAGTACCTGACACATAATAGACGGCTAATAAATATCTGGTGATTGTGCATTTCACAGGAGTGTAGGGTAATAATATGCCATACCAAATGCACTGTCTTTTTTGTTTTGTTTTATACTATCCTGATTAGATACACATAGTTTTTATAGGTAGTGCCATCTTCATATAGAAACCAAACATTTTCTGAAATTCCCTGTTTTTCCCAGCTTCTCTGACTACTTTTGTTTAGCCATCCTGTCTGTTAATCCCATTTCTTTGTTGTTCTTTCTTGTCCTCAAGGAATAGTGTTCCTGAGGATGCTGTCCTCAACTTTTTTATTCTGTGTTAAACACTCTAACCTAAGGGAGAGGTTTTTCCAGTGGAAACAAATTCAGTCATGCCATAACCTTTCAGAGGCTGTCGGTTTCAGAATAAAACCCACATTTCTTTGCATGTAAGACATTGCACTTTTGTATTTCATCAGCCTTTACTTCTGCCTCACTGGAAACATACATTTAGCCAGTCATCTCAAACTACCTGAAGCTTGTTCATTTATATTTTCATAGCTTTATTCATGTTATTTTTTCCTGGAATGCCTTTCAAACTGACAGCATTCAGAGATCACCTCGGGAATCCTTCCCACTCTTACATTAGTTATTTCATTATACCATGTGTGTCTCTATCATATCATAATGTTTAAGGCTTGCTGTAATTGTCTAGTCTGTGGACTCTTTGAGGGACTCTTATTTTTCTGTCTCCTACTTAAACAATATTTTTGACATAGCTGCTTAGGTGTGTGTTTAAATTTTTTTCTATTTAATAATGTTTTTTATTTGTGTTGTAGAATGCCAGGGGACTTGGATCTGAGCTCAAGGACAGTATTCCAGTTACTGAACTTTCAGCAAGTGGACCTTTTGAAAGTCATGATCTTCTTCGGAAAGGGTATATGGGGGAATTACGACTTTGATTTTGTTATGTTTCTGTGAATTATTTTTCACAATATTCTTTAAGTATTTCGATAGGCTATACATGTGTATTTAGTTGGCAGATGGCAAGTAATATACCTTACGTGGGGTGCAGAGGGGAAGAGGCTCAGATATTTTCTGTAGTGGAAGAAGTATCTCATCAAAGTAGTAGGTTCTCAACGTAGGGCATCCTCCTAGACAGTGGTGCCCATGAGCATGAATTGGTAGGATTCTTTTTATTTATTTTTTTACTACTGACAACTTAGCCATTTGCCTTCTTGTCTTAACTATTAGAGTAATTCGCTTTTCTTTGGGAGGCGCTAGAACATAGCAGTTGAGAGATTAAACTCTGGATTCAGTCGGCCTGGGTTTGGATCCTGACTCTACTATTTACTAGATGTGTGCCTTTGGACAAATCACATAGTTAATGCCTCGGTGTCCTTATAGATAAAATAGGCCTAATAATAGTCTATTATCTTATTTTGAGGAATAAACATACATTCATTAAATTTCTTCTAGATGTAGCACCAGATTTTGGCAGGTTTTCCCTAGTGATTGAAGTCTTGACCACCAATGTCTATAATGGATACATTCTTAAATTATCATATAGTACTTTTTTTTTTCCTTTTGGTGTATGGGTCTATGAATTTTTAGCACATTTATCAATTTGTATGACTGTCACCACAGTCAAGATACAGAACAGTTTTGTTACCCCAAAAAACTCTCTCATGCCATCCCTTTATAGATACGATTTTGAGCTGTGGGTATTGAGTGATATTTAATCTCCTTTAAATTTTTTTTTTTTTTAATTTCCTTTCAGTTTTTCTTGTGTGAAAAATGAACTTTTGCCTAGTCATCCTCTTGAATTATCAGAAAAAAATGTAAGTATATTATTGTGTCCTTATTTTTATCTTCCAATAGATAAATACTTTTAGTAATATTGGTTTCATTTTATTAAAGCAATTTTGGTACTGAGGATTTGCCCATGAAGAATATGGGGCCTTATTTTCAAACCCCTTGTAGGATAGACTTAAAAATTATACTGCTCTTCTGAAGCTCCCTTGCTATGCATCCTTCCCTGCCTTTTTAATGTATATCTCCAAAGGGTGATCCACTTCTCCATTCCTCTCACAGGAATGTTCTCTTTTAATAATGCTGTTTCTTTTATATTTTTTCCTGCCATTTTTGCTCTTGACTTCCAAGTTCATGTCTCTAGTTTTGACCTCTTTCTCAAGTCCTGCATTTCCGAGTTACTGTAGGACACAGCCACTAGGCACAGTAGGTACTTCGATGAATATGACGTAATCCCCATCCTTAAATAACTTAAAATTTAATGAGGAAGACAAGCAGTGGGTAGGAGAAGACTTCGTAAAATGCTAGAGAAGACCAAGCATGGGACAGTCACCTGTGCTGAGGGCTTTTTTGGAAGGCGTTATAGAAGAGGAGGGACTTTTGAAGAGTTTTAGATCAGAAAGTTTACTCCTAAAGAGAGGATAGCATGTATACATGTCCAAAACACAACTTAATGGATTCTTAAATAAACATTTAGAGGAAGAAGAAAAAAGTTTCTGACTACTTGGGGAAGGTGATGCAGTCATTAGGTAACAGAAAACTGGTCAGTATTTTTTGTTTCTTTGTTTCTTTTACTTTCTAATAAGAGGATAGATCTTCCTATAAGAAAGAGTAGAACAAAATGTAATTGTGAAATTGAAGTTCAAATTAGATGAGAAAAATAAAAAAGTTCCTAGTCGCTTTAAGTGAATCCAGGTTTCAGGTGCAGAAGTTGACAACCCAGAGTATACTTAAAAGTATGTAAGTATGATTATAAAAGCACAGTTGATCATCTTTGAGAACTAATGGGAGAAATGATCATTGCTTGTAGATGGATACATATTCCACTTTTGTATAAAGGATCTTACTGAAAAATAAGATTGTCTGTGATAACACTGATTGCTGAAACCATTTCTTACGTGGACTGTTGAGTGAGCTGTGAGCATTTAATAAAGTTTAAGCGGTGATCGTCAGCATCTGAATGAACTCCGCAAATTAATTTTAGTTCATTCTTTTACTAAATTGCCATATAGGTCAGTCAAGGGATCAAATTACCTGACAAGGGATAAGATTGAGGATTATATGGTGGATTATGAACCTAGTGAAAGTAGTGTGGGGTAAAATATATGAGGTCGATAACTACCCAGAGAACAGTGGTTAAAGAATAGTCAGTTTGGAGGGAATATTTCGATAGGGCTTTTTGGCCTCTGTCTACATCTTAGGTACTCAGATGGACACATAGGAGGGATAAGTATTTTTCAAGGACTTGTGGGCAACCAAAGAAAGAATGTATATCAGGTTTTTGGAAAAAAGGTTGAGAAGGATAGTTCATTCTGGTGAATAATTGAACTATATCATGATGATAAAATAGACCAAAGTCTAGACCAAAATTTAAGAAAAACATTTATAGAGGTGAGTGTGAAGTTCTGCATTTGGATTCGAAAAATGAATTCTACACCTTTGGGCAGGGTAAAGTGACTTGCTGTGTAAAACTTGACTATTTTAATTGGCTGTATACTCAGTATAAGCCAGTAGATTACATTAGTTACTAAAAAGAAAGGTTAATGCAGTCTTGGGCTTTGTTAATAAGATGGGGCTCAAATCAAGGGAGATTATTTTATTTTCCTGTATATTAGTCTGGCTATTAGATTTGGAATATTGCTTTAGTTCTAAGCAGTACATGTTAAGAGAAACTGACAAATCTGAGTGAGACTGGCCGGAACTGTGAAGAATCTAGAGATTCTTCAGAGATCTTTTTGAGACTTGACTTATATCTACTGTGTCTCTTCTTTAATCATTTAGCCAGCTAATGGCAGTCTCACTCTTTATGTGACACTTACTATTATAAATCCTTTAGCATGGATTGTGTAGTGGAACTATTTGGGCATTCCACTTTGCTAAGTAAACTTGGGGCATATTGCTTGATTTTCTTTAAGCCTTAGTCTTCTCATCTGGAGTTAGTAATAGCCCATCCTTGGCATATTGCTGGCCTCTAGTAGCTCTGCATGATTGGGAGCTTGAGTGGTGATAGTAAGGGAAGATGACCATCATCTTTTGTACCAGTGGTTCTCAACTAGGGGAGGATCGTCCTCCTGCCCCCAAGAGGGAACAGTTGGCAAAGTCTGAGGACATTTTAAGTTGTCACCAGTGGTGCGGTGGGGGTGGGGAGATGTAATACTGGCATCTATTGGGTAGGGGCCAGGGATGCTGTCAAACATCCTACAGTGCCCAGGACAGCCCGCCACAGTGAAGAATTATCTGGCCCAAGAAATCAGTAGTGTGGAGGGTTGAGAAGCCCTGATCTATACATCATGTCTTCCAAACTGGATTATAGCCTTCTCCAAGGTAGACTGTTCAGTTTTGTTGTGTTGTGTGTTGCCACAGAGCCTAATTTTGCACACGGTTGCTAACTTAACATGTTGATTGATAATTATAGTATTAATATCACATTACAAGATGGCTGTATTCATCAAAATTTACATACATTGAATTTTGAATTTTTATACATAAAATTACATTTACTGCTGGGTGTGGTGGGGTGTGCCTGTAGTCCCAGCTGCGTGGGAGGCTGAGGCAGAGGATTGCTTGGGCCTGGTAATTCCAGGCTGTAGTGCTCTATGATCGTGCCTGTGAATAGCCACTGCGCTCCAGCCACATAGCAAGACCTGTCTCTTAAAATAAAATTGTATTATGAGGATAGACCAATATTTAAAGCAAACCCTTCACTTAGAACTTCAGATCATATACCCATAATAAAATACTGCAGGTTCTCCCTAAGGACCATCTGTCAAAATTTGCTATGTCAAGCTAAAGTAATTAAAAAGCATTTTGATAGTCACCTTACTTTCAAACTTCATCGTCATATCCCAAGTAGGTGCTAATCTCTCAATATATTTTTGATTAAAATTACCTTTTTTATTACTGTTAGAAGACAATGTTATCAAGAGAGTAGCATGTAATAAAAAATAATGACAAGAAGTGACTTTACCTCATTATAATCACCTTAGCTCAGACAAATCTTTGTTACAGTCTGTTTTGCATATCACATTCACTATCCTTAGGAGCCATTTTTGGAAACTGTTTTAGAATCCATGAGTCAAGTTGATTCATTTTGCCTGAAATACATTAAGTTATAGTCAAAGTTCCCTAAATGTAATATCAGTACGTAGTAAAAGTATGATTCCAGGAAAAAAAATTACTGACTATTACCCAATACAAATTGAATAAACTTTTGAGAGATGTTTGTTTTTCCCCGAGGCGAATGCCAAAAATAAGTGGAGTTTATAGTTTAATTAACGGGATGATTTAGTGGTTGGATTATTTCTTTTGCTGAATTCTTTTAAATATATACCTTCACACTTAGAAGTTAACTATTTTTGTCAGTGCATGTGGCATTTTCTGGATCTCAAATTATGCCTTTGCTAGTTTTGCAGTACTTTTAATCAAAAGCACTAAAATATGATTATGTATTGTAAATGTACTTTTGAAATAGGAGACACATTCCTTAATTTATTACGTTTATAAATTTGGAATTATGGTAGTAATTTTACACTCGTAAAAGTACACCTGCATGCTAAATAAAATATAGACATATGTGGTCTAAACTTTATCAGAAAAAATACTAAAAATACTTAGTTTTTATTACAGGTATGGATATTAAAATTCTTCATCTAACTATTATGTTATATATATGCCACTTGCTAATTGTTTTGAAAGCAGAGTATTGAGTGTAATGTTTAAAATTACATTGTCTTTTGTAGTTCCAGCTCAACCAAGATAAAATGAATTTTTCCACACTGAGAAACATTCAGGGTCTATTTGCTCCACTAAAATTACAGATGGAATTCAAGGCAGTGCAGCAGGTGAGTTAATGGATCTCTGTTACATATGTGTCAATATCATTCATGAGGACTCTTCTGTTTTCATAACAGCTATTTATACCTTATCTACCTTACAACCTATTCTACTTCCCTCTCCCTTTTTAGGATATGGCCTTGATTTCTACTTCATAGAGGGAAAAAAGAAGTTATTAAATGGAAAACTTCAAATTACAGGCTTGGTGTCTGAAAACTAACTGCATCTGCTTTCATGTTTTTCTGTTTTTTTTTTTTGTTTTTTTTTTTTTTTTAAGGGATTACATTGAATTTGAGATCCCTGTAAGAATATCCAAGTGGAGGTGTCAAGTATACAATTTGTATATAGTTGGATATAACTGTTGCTAAGGAACAAGTACTTGGAAAATATCCTTCCAGTTTAAGAACTGCCCTCCTACCTGTGCTTTGGATAATATCCTGTTACATTACTTCAGGAAAATCCCTTTATCAGTGATCCTTTCTAAAGCTAGTATCTTCAACCTCTCTCTGCTTGCCCTGTCTCAGCAGTAGCATTTTAACCTTTGTTGTCTTTTAAAACAAAAAAAAAATTGTATCAATTTCAAATTCCTTTATAGTAACTTGTCTCTCATTGAGTGTGCTTTTGCTTCTTGAAAAGTTGTCTACATTTGCTTTCTGTACTCCTTTCCCTCCTATTTATTTAACCCACTATTTCTGTCTCCCATGACACCAATGAAGCTGCTCCTGAACAATGTGGACATTTTTACCTTCACTTTACTTGATCTCCCTGTAGCATTTGACACTAATAGTGGCTTCTTCCTCTTTCCCTTGGCTTTTACTTTTTTACTTTGTATTTATTTTTTTGAGACGGTCTCATTCTGTCATCCAGGCTGGACTGCAGTGGTATGATCATAGCTCACTGCAGCCTCGAACTGCTGGGCTCAAGCAATCCTCTTGCCTCAGTCTCCTGAGTAGCAGGGACTACAGTCATGTGCTACCTTGCCTGGCTAGTTTTTAACATTATTATTATTATTTGTAGCTCTTGCTACATTTCCTAGGCTGGTCTTAAACTCCTGGCCTCAAGCTATCCTCCCACCTCCTTGGCTTTTAGAACACCACGCTTTCCTGATGTCCTTCTTTCTGAATCCTTATTCTCAGGTGTCTCTGTGTAGGTTCCATTTGTTTTGTCTGTTTCCTAAAATGCCAGTTTTGTTAGTGCCCCATCTCTAGTCCTTTCCTCACCCTGTTTCCTACTTGTGGCTTTAGTTATCAATTATATGTTGATGATTCCAGCTGGGCCTGGTGCCTCAAGCCTGTGATCCCAGCACTTTGGGAGGCCAAGGTAGGAGGACTGCTCGAGCTCAGGCCTTCAAGAGCAGCCTGGGCAACATGGCGAAACCCCATCTCTACAAAAAAAAATAGAACAAATGTGCCAGCCTTGGTGGTGCACACCTATAGTCCCAGCTGCTCAGGCGGCTGAGGTGGGAGGATCATTTGAGCCTGGGAGTTGGAGGTTGCAGTGAGCTGAGATCGTGCCACTGCACTCCAGCCTGGGTGACAGAGTGAGACTCCATCTCAAAACATAAAATATGTTGATGACCCCAAAGTTACAATTTTCATGAGCTATAAACCTATAAACTTTTCCAATTGGAAGTCCCACAGGCATCTCCAGTTTTACATGGACAAGTACAGAATAACTCATAATCCCCCACATACTCCTTATCCCGTATGAATAGGTTCTGCCTAAGGCAGAAATTGGATAATTAGCCTTGGTTATGTCACCTGGCACCCATCCTAACCTCCTCCCCTGTTCCCCGAAATTGTTCATTCAGTTTATTACTTGCTCTTCCCACCATTGCTACTACGTTAGTTCTTGCCCCTGCCAGACTTCATCTGGATTACTGCAGCACTCATCCCTGCTGCCCCTCCAATCCTTGTTAACACTCTAGTCAGAATAATCTTTGTAAAACACAGATTCGATTATGTCACTCTCCTCACTTTACCCTCAAAGTAAAAATAAAACACAGCGCCTTAGTGTGGCTCTGTCCATGAATTGGCTTCTTGCTTCCCACCACACTTCATATCCTCTTAAACAACTTGCAGTTTCCTAATTCATTAGGTTCTTTCACTGTTAGGCATTTGCACACATTTCTCCTACTGGTGTGGATTCCTTTCTCTGACCGAGCTAAATTGTCTTTTTCAATAAATTCTGTTGGCCATGGGGGGTGGCTGGCTCATGCCTGTAATCCCAGCACTTTGGGAGGCCGAGGCAGGGTGGATCACCTGAGGTCAAGAGTTTGAGACCAGCCTGACCAACATGTTGAAACCCCATCTCTACTAAGAGTACAAAAATCAGCTGGGCGTAGTGGCACACACCCGTAATCCCAGCTACTCGGGAGGCTGAAGCAGGAGAATTGCTTGAACCTAGGAGGCAGAGGTTGCAGTGAGCCAGAATCACACCATTGCACTCCAGGCTGGGTGACAAGAGCAAAACTCCATCTCCAAAAAAAATAATAATAAGATAAATTCCGCTAATGCCATCAATTGTATTTAGCTAAGTCATTCTGGAAGCTACTTGTTTTCCAAACATAAAGCTCTTAAAAAGCATGGTTTTAAGTCAGAGCAACCTAAGGCTGAATCTTGGCTTATCCATCTACTAGTCTTAAGAACTTGAGTAAGTTGGAGAACTTTCTGAACCTCAGATTTTTTAATTTAATGCGAAATAAGGAGAACAGTAAGAGTAGCACAGGATTATTCTGAAGGTTAAATGAAATTACGTTTGGCACAAAATTGTTAGCTTCCCTTTTTATTTTCCTCTTACTCAGATTTCAACTACAGATTGCTCAAATTTTGGACTTAAGTTTTTAATACGATTTGGTCTAAATATCTTTGCCCAGAATTTTTTTTTTTCTTATCTCTATACTTTCGCAGTTTTGGATTGTCAAGATGTATGACAGCTGCCTGCTCCTCCCTGCTTTTGATGCATTCTTAGGACTGTACCTCTGATCTAACTACAAGACCCCTTGCTGTCTGGTTTAATTTACAGGTTCCTATTTTTGTTTCTTCCTCTTCCTCCTCTTTCCTCCCACTTCCTTTTTTTTTTTTTTTAGGTTTGACAATCTAGAGAAATTTTTCCACACTATAAAGATTTTAAATATCTCTATAGGACATTAGTAATTGAAAATAATATATTTAGTCTGGATACATTTTGTGGAGGGGGGAGAAATGTGAGAAACTGCCCTCTTAGATTCTAAAGGTGTGATTATTTTTAAAATGCTAATATCATTTAGTCAAAGACCACCTATTTTGGTAGTCTTTGGCAATATCTAAAATTATCTGTATTAGCTGGTTTGGTGACATGGACCTGTAATCTCAGTTTTAGTGGGAGGATCACTATAGCCCAGGAGTTTGAGACCAGCCTAGGCAACCTATTGAGTTGGACTTTTCTTCAGGAATTTGATCATCCCACATATATCAGGAATGAGGCGTGATGTTAGGCTCTGGGATTTTGCATTTCATCACATGGTATGTGCTGTAGTTTTCCTGAGTAGAAGCAAAGCCTCAAAATACATGCATACCAGGTAGGATTATTAAGTGTTAATGAAAAGTATAATTTCAGTGTCTTTACAACTTAGTTTGTGTCTAAAATATGAACTAGTGTTTTTTTCCCCTTGTTAAATTCATCTTTTATTTGGTTTTGTGAAATTTCAAACAAAGAATAAAGAACATGAAATTACACTATGTATTCTGTCATTTTCCCCTAATTTTTTCTAATCTTGTCCCTTCATACTTTTCCCCAAAGGTTCAGCGTCTTCCATTTCTTTCAAGCTCAAATCTTTCATTGGATATTTTGAGGGGTAATGATGAGACTATTGGATTTGAGGATATTCTTAATGGTAAGTGTCATTCAGCACCTTTTTATGGAGCCGTTGTAATTTAAAAGGCAAACAACTGCAAAAAGAATAGGCAAAATTCTTGTCCTCATGGAACTTACAGCTGATTGGTTTAACTTTGTTTTTTCATTGCATTAAGATAAAAATCTAATGGTAGTAACTATTCTTCAACTGTTTTTGAAAGTGAAGATTTGCTGGGTGCGGTGGCTCATGCGTAATCCCAGCACTCTAGCACTTTGGGAGGCCGGGGTGGGCAGATCACCTAAGGTCAGGTGTTTGAGACCAGCCTGGCCAACATGGTGAAACCCTTCTCTACTAAAAATATAAAAATTAGCCAGGCATGGTGGCAGGCACCTGTAATCCCAAATACTTGGGAGGCTGAGGTTGCAGTGAACCGAGATCGTGTCATGCACTCCAGCCTGGGTGACAGAGCAAGACTCCGTCTTAAAAAGAAAAAAAGGGAAAATTATTTTTGAAATTCTAAGGGTATATAGTCATTTCAGTCTAGTAATGGTGGTTATTCACTTCATGTCCTGAGCTTCAAGCGTAATACGTCAGTCTAATACTCCTAGGATAACTTAAACAGTGATAATTATTACAGAATTCACATTGTTGGGATGTGACTGGTGGTGTTTTTGTTTGTTCAGTTTGATTTTAGGGTTTTTATGACTAGCATTGTAAACAACAGGAAGATAAATCTTTCTTTAAAAAGTAGCCCCCCAAAAATGTAGTTTTTGTACTTTTACAGGTGATAAATAGGAAAGAGGAATCTGTCTTTTTTTTTTTTTTTCTGAGATGGAGTCTTGCGCTGTCACCTGGCTGGAGTGCAGTGGCGCGGTCTCAGCTCACTGCAACCTCTGCCTCCCGGGTTCAAGCAATTCTCCTGCCTCAGCCTCCCGAGTAGCTGGGATTACAGGTGCCCACCACCACACCTGGCTAATTTTTTTATTTTTAGTAGATACGGGGTTTCACCATGTTGGCCAGGCTGGTCTTGAACTCCTTACCTTGTGATCTGCCCGCCTTGGCCTCAAAGTGCTGGGATTACAGGTGTGAGCCATTGCACCTGGCCAAATCTGTTATTTTAAATAAAATTCCCTGAATAATTGTAAATGAATTTAAGTAAGAACAATACATGCAGCATCCTCTATTTTTTCTGGTCCTGAGGAAGATAAATAAATACAATCCTGTCCAATGCTGCCTCTGCTCACTATGCCCCAACAGTGCAGGAGAAACAAAAATATCCAACAGGATTAAGTTTTATTAGTTTTGCTTGGCTGCTGATGTCCGGTAAGGAAATGCTGTGGACATAACAGAAGTCTAGTGAGCCTCCTTTGAGAATCTTCCCTGAGGGAGCATTTTCGATGCAGGAAAAGCTGGGATTCTTAAGCTTTTACATTGAACTTAGACCTTATTTAAAACTACTAAGGTGACATAGTTCAGGTCTTTAGTTCTAAAAGCATTCATTTAAAAATCTGCTTCTGTAATTCTGTATAAAGAAAGGGAGAGGGACTTAGGAACATTTATCTAGTCAGTCAAATATGTGTCAGGCACTGGGCTAGGCTCTGAATATACAACTGTGAACAAAACAAGTATCTGTGCTTTCAAATGGAGATAAACACATTAACACAAATATACAATTTGATAATTCTAGGAATAAAAAGGATGTTTTTGGGTTGGGAGGGCACATACCTCTGGGAATATAACACGTAAGTTGATTCCTGAAAGAAACATGAAATCATTGACCTAGAAGTAGAGGGAGAATATTTCAGACAGAAGAGATCAGTATGTGCAGGGTCTGTAACCTGAGAACAGCTGAAGAGCTCTGAACAGTTTGAGATGTTACTCTACTTTCAAGCTAACTTGTTAACCTGCCATGAATTCACGAATGCTAGCAGAAGACAAGAGACTCCTAAAGGAGAGTTTCTTACTCACAGCAGTAGCGTAGCCACAGTATCAGCATTTCTTTTGGTTCCCTTAGCCCCGCTTCCTATGGGGCAGCTAAGAAGAGGGTAAGGTGATGCCTTGTACATTGAGTGTGTTATGTTAGAGGAAAGGAACTCCAAGTTCAGGCCACCTCAGCCTTACAACTGGCAGTCAACCTGCCTGTCCTGTGCTTCTTTGTCTTCTGAGGCGAAACGATTTTGGAAAGATAGCCTAGAACAAAGGCAGTTTAGTGCGTCTGCTCCCAGCTTGCAGAATGGAGAGACCAATAGAGAACTGTCTCCCAGCACTTTAAGAAGGCCCATATAGCTGACATGTTTTGAGTAAAGTAGAGAATAGAATAAGGTTGAGATCAGAAAGCTAAGCAAGGAACAAATGAACCATGGCCTACAGACCACGAAAAGAAGTTTAGAATTTCTTCAGAATGCAGCAGAAGGCCATTGAGCAGTTTTAAGTAAGGATCTAATGTGATGGAATTACATGTTTAAAAAGGTCACTAGCAGCCGGGCACGGTGGCTCACGCTTGTAATCCCAACACTTTGGGAGGCTGAGGTGGGCGGATCATGAGGTCAGGAGATCTAGACCATCCTGGCGAACACAGTGAAACCCTGTCTCTGCTAAAAATACAAAAAAATTAGCCGGGCATGGTGGCGGGTGCCTGTAGTCCCAGCTACTTTGGGAGGCAGGAGAATGGCGTGAACCCAGGAGGCGGTGGAGCTTGCAGTGAGCGGAGATCGCGCCACTGTCCTCCAGCTTGGGCGACAGAGTGAGACTCCGTCTCAAAAAAAAAAAAGGTCACTAGCTGGGTAGGTGTGGTGGCTCACATCCATAATCCCAGCACTTTGGGAGGCAGAGGTGGGAGGATCAGTTTAGCCGAGGAGTTTGAGACCAGCCTGGGTAAGATGAGACCCTGTCTCTACAGAAATGTTTAATTGGGCATAGTGGTGTGTGTCTGTAGTCCCAGGTATTCGGGAGTCTGAGGCAGGAGGATCACTTGAGCCCAGGAATTTGAGGCCACAGTGAGCAGTGATCATACCAGTGTACTCTCTAGCCTGGGCGACAGAGTGAGACCCTGTCTCAAAAAAATAAAAAATAAGCCACTTGCTATCTTGTGGGCATCTTTTAAAATTCATTCCTTGTGTCTCTCTAAGGTAGCTATTAGGAAAAATCACCTGTTTGCAAGGTAGATGATTTTTTTTTTTTTTTTTTTTTTTGAGACAAGAGTCTTGCTCTGTCACCCAGGCTGGAGTGCAGTGGAGCGATCTTGACTCACTGCAACCTCCAACCTCCCAGGTTCAAGCGATTCTCCTGCCTCAGCCTCCCAAGTAGCTGGGATTGCAGGTGCCCACCACCACGCCTGTCTAATTTTGTATTTTAATAGAGGCAATTTCACCATCTTGGTCAGGCTGGTCTCAAACTCCTGACTTCTGGTAGTCCACCCACCTCAGCCTCCCAAAGTGCTGGGATTCCAGGCGTGAGCCACCAGGCCCGGCCAGGTAGATGGTTTTTATCACAATGAGACCACTGTATTTGGGCTAGTTTTTTTCTTGCGGGAACTGTGACTGCATAATATGTGGATAACTTAGGGCTTCACCTTAGGGACCTGAATTAGCTGTTCCTTTCTTCTTCAAATAGTTTACCCTCATTTTTCAGATCCCAACCTAAGTATTACTTTTTCAGAGAGTCCTCTGTTAACTACTGTTAGTCTATTCTTGCATTGCTATAAAGAAATACCTGAAGCTGGGTAATTTATAAAGAAAATTTAATTTGGCTTATGCTTCCTCAGGCTGTACAGGAAGCATAGTGCTCTATCTGCTTCTGGTAAGGGCCTCAGGAATCTTACAACCATGGCAGAAGACAAAGGGGGAGCCAGTGAATTACATGGCAAGAAGGAGCAAGAGAGTGAGAGGGGGCTGCCACACAGCTAAACAACCAGAACTTGTGTGAACTCAGAACAAGAACTCACTTATCCAGGGGGGTGGAGCTAAACCATTCATGAGGTATTCAACGCCATGATCCAGTTACCTCTCTCCAGGGCCCGCCTTCAACACTGGGAATCACATTTCAATGTGAGATTTGGAGGGGACAAATATCCAAACCATATCAACTACCTAATCTAAAGTAGTCCCTGCTTTGTCACCCTACCTTATATTAATTCTTTGCATAACACTTATCTGATATTTTTCTTATTTATTATATGTCCAACTTAAATATACATGTCAGGAGAGCTGGAGATTTTTTCTTGTTAACTGTTGTGTTCCCAGTACCTGATAGGGTGCTTGATCCATAGTTAAAGGTCTTGTTGACCACATTCTTACCACCTTTGACACGAAACACAGTGTTAAGTCTGTAATCAGAGAGTAGCTTGTTAATCTAAATACTTTGTAAAGACTATAACAGTATTGGAGATGATGGCGTTTTTGCCTGCTTATCAGTGAAGTACTTAGGCAAGTTAATCCTGTACATTTTACAAGATTAGGAGGGACATATAAGGACACTAGTAAAATCAAAAATGTACTTTTTCTTAATGCTGGAAGGGGACTTTCATGTACTCTAATCCCCTAACTGGAATATGAGTAAATGGAAGCTCACAGAGGCTCAGTCGTCACTCAGAGTCTCATGGCGAGCTCTTGGTACAACAGGTGCAAAACCCGTCTCCCGCCAGTGCCTTGCTTACATGATGTGCTGTCTTTTGGTGCAAGTGATTTATTTAATAAATGCATTTTATTAAAGAAGCTTTAAAAAGCATGGTGTGGAAGAAAGTTTAGTTACATAAATGAGTATATTCTTTTTGCAAAAATTTGAAATATTACCATTGAAACTTAGATTTTCTGTAATGACCCTCAATCCCATTTTTCTTGTTCCCTAATTACCTACTGTTTTAGTTTGGTTTAGTCTGTCCTTCCAGACTGTTCTACGTGTCTTTCTACAAATACTAACATATATAGTCAAAAAATAGTTGGTATTGCCTTTTTTTTTAAGTTGAGGTTTTGAGTGCCTTTTATATACACAGCAATTTATTAATCTCCAGTCTCTTAGGAGATCCAGTGAGGAAACATCCACATTGGTTTCACTGAACTGTTTGTTCCTCTTGGTAGCCGTCATTATTATGTGCAGGGTTATTCATTCTTCCAAAGTGATTTTATGATTTAGTTCATTAGGTTTTTATTCTGTTTCTAGTCCTATGTTGAGGAGTAGAGGACAAAGAAAAAGGCTCTGTCTTTAGGAAGCTTACTCTTGGTAATAATTTTAAAAGTTCTTTTAGGTGTATAAACACGGTTAAAATAAGACTTTTGTCTGACTCATCTGTAAACATAAAAGTGACGATTTTTAAAGGTTTTCTTTTTTAAGAATTCTTACTTACATTTGTGTGTGTACAACAGATCAGAAGATGATACAGATAAAACGTTTTTGTGAATTAAGAGATTGTTTCCAGTCATGTGGGAAGCCACTAGAAAACTTAAGAACTTTGAAAAAAGAAAACTTTGTCAATCTTTTTTCTTTTAAAATCTGCTATTTTGAGATATTATTGGCATACAGTAGAGTACATCTGTTTTTAAGTGAACAGTTCTGTGAGTTTTAATCAACATAGAGCCGAGTCTCCTAAATAAAGGAGTAAAATATTTTCATTGCCTCACAAGTTCTCTTGGTCCCTTTGCAGTCAGTCACCCCACTCCAGCCCCAGGCAATCACTGGTTTGTTTTCTATAACTTTAGGTTAGTTTTGACTGTTCTGGATTCTCATGTAAGCGGAATCATTGAATTTATCTCTTTTGAGAGTCTTTTAAAATGTTTGTTTTTGTTTGCTTTCAGATCCATCACAAAGTGAAGTCATGGGAGAGCCACACTTGATGGTGGAATATAAACTCGGTTTACTGTAGTAGTGTGCTGTTCACGGAAACTGAGGGCTGCATCTTGTTTATAGTCGTCTTTGTACTGTAATTTGATGTACACAACATTAAAAGTACTGACACCTGAGAATTTCTGCTCAAGTAGCATCAGTGATCATTTAAAATTTGGGGGCATCTTTGGTTTACAGCCATGTGACAATTAAAAGCACTAAAGGGGGATCATGTTAAAGCTCTTAAATTATATTAAAACAATAGCCTTTGTCTTTAAAAAAAATGTTGCTCATGAATATTATAAAATGATCTACAGGTTTCAATTCAACCTGTTTTCTAAGTTTTCTGTAAACTTAGTTTTGAATAAGCATAAGCATTTGAGTCTGTAAACTTTGTAGTAGCATCTTTCAGAATAAACATTTTTAATTGATTTCAGTGGCAACTCTTCAAATTGAGTACAATATGAGATATATCAGTATCGTCCATTAACACTCGTAAGAATAACATTTACTGTCTCAGTGCTATTTTAGGGTTATAGCTATTCTTTGATTCAGGGTTGAAAAGTAGAAGTTCTAAAGTTTTGATTTTGGTCTGGTCTTTAAGTGAAAAATTAAAGCAACCGGTAGATGTAGGTTAAACTTTTACTTCATAGACTTATTATGTAATTACCAAGCAACACTGTTCAAGAAAAGTAAAACTCATTTTTTCTTGTTGTTAATTTATATATTACAAGATACCATAAGATGTTCTGTATGAAGTTGGTATATACAAATTTACATTTTTAGAACATTAGTGAATGGGTCGTCTTTTACAATTAAAAGTATATTTTGATTATCAATTTCTTGGGAGCATCTTTGATTAGATAAATTACTGATTTGAAACATTTGGCAATGTCGAGAGACATTTTTGGAGTCACAACTTTGGGGGTGGGCTGCTACTGGCATCTAGTGGGTAGAAGCCAGGAATACAGCTAAAGATCCTACAATGCATGGAACATCAGCATCAATTTATGGTCTTGTAACTAGTTGAAGACACTAAAGGGAAATGAATTTAAAACTCCCAGTTTATATTTGTACAGTAGCATTCTATGTCTTTAAAAACTTACTATGGGGGGGGGGGGGGGGGGGGGGGGGGGGGGTTTGGTGGTGGTTTTTGGGGGGGGGGGTTGTGTTGGGGGGGGGGGGGGGGGGGGGGGTGAGCGAGTAGCATTGCTGGGAGGGACTGTTAAAAAAAACTTACTTATGAACATTCTAAAACCATCTACATACAGAGTTTGCACTCTGCAACCAAGATCATTTGGTTCAAAATGTCAGTAGTTGCTAAAGTTGACAAACCTTGAGAAAAGTCAAGGACACTTAAGAAATTTTTTTTTGAGAGAAGGTCTCACTGTCACCCAGGCTGGAGTACAGTGGCGAGATCATGGTTCACTGCAGCTGAGACTGACCAGGCTCAAGCAATTCTCTCACTTCAGCCTCCCAAGTAGCTGGGAGTACAGGGATGTACCTCCACGCCTGGCTAATTTTTTATTCTTTTATAGAGACGGAGTCTCGCTATATATTGCCCAGACAGGTTTTGAACTCCTGGCCTCTAGTGATCCTCCTACCTCAGCCTCCGCAAAGTGCTGGGATTACAGGCATGAGCCATTGCACCTGGCCAATTATACATTTTTAAAATAGATACCTTGCTCTTGACTATTGAGATTAAGTTTAGAATCGTCTTTGCTAACACAGTGTTCTCCAGCCCACTACACTTAATAAGCAAATGTAGAAATAATAAAGATTCACTAATTGCTTCTACGTGTATTCTCTTTAATAATAAGGAAGTTGGAGGTTTCTTCTGTACCTTAAACCTAGGAATAACAGATACCCTTCCTGACCAGTAGAGGGTACTATGTTTAAGAGTGTAGTTTAAATGGAAAATGTGAGGCTTTAATATAGAACTTGGTAATCATGAATAACACTATCTTTTTGCCTCCTCTCTCCTCTTTTAACCTTCTTTGTGTTTATATCAGTGGCCCTCACCCCTGGATGCTTATAGGAATCAGCTGGGAATCTTTTGAAGAAATTTTAGTGTCAGGATTTTAATCTCAAGTTCCAGTAGGACTAGTCTGAGGTGGATCCCAGGAAGTATATTTTTTGAAAGTGCTCCACGTTGAGAACCTTTTATATGCTTTATTCCCTTTCTCTGCTCTGCCTTTGTGTTAGTGACAATTGCGAATTGCAATTCCCAGGTTGTGACCTGGGCTTCTGACCGACTGGTTGTAAATTGGGGTTCCCAGTGTCCCTCTTCTTGGGTTCCATAATTTGCTAGGGCAGCTCATAGAACTCAGGGGAACACTTCACTTACATTTATCCTTTTATTATAAAAGATATTGCAAGGGCTACAGATGAACAACCAGATGGAAGTGATGCATAGGGCAGTGCTAGGAGCTTCTATGCCCTCTCCCGGCACACCACCCTCCAGACACCTCCACGTGTTTACCAACCTGAAAATTCAGGGATTTTGATGGAAGCCTCATCTTGTAGGTATGATCAGTTATGAACTTATTCTCTAATCCCTCTTGCCTTCCTAGACGATGAGGTTGCAGTTCCAAGTGAGGCTGCAGATTCCAAGCTTCTAGTCATGATATCACAGTCGGTTAAAATTTATTAATACTAAGATAAAAGAAGCATACTTAATGGGAGTACAATCTAATTTTATATTAAGCCTTTAATATACATGAGAACAAGGGAGTTGGCGGGTATTACCATCTGGAAGTGTTGGGGGTTTGGTGTATAATTGAACACTGGTACACCACAGGATGGCTCCTTCACTAAACACAACTTTTCACTATACAAAATGTAAATAATAGGCTTATTACTTTTTTAAAATTTTGCCCTTTACTGTGGGTGTTATCCCTTTTTCTGGAGGACAGGGAATGCAGCTCAGTGCTCTTCTACATTTTGTTATTCCTTTGTTTATTTTATTTTTTAGAGATGAGGTCTTGCTATGTTTCCAAGGCTGGAGTGCATTGGGTATTCACAGGCATGATTATAGCTCACCGAAGCCTCGAACTCCTGGGCTCAAATGCTCCTCCTGCCTTACCTTCCTGAGTAGCTGGGACTACAGGTGTACGCCACCATGCCCCCAGCTTGTTTTTCCTTTAAATGCAGACATTGAAGAATGAGAAAAACGATCTGAACAAGTGCTTTTGAAAAATGGAAGAACTATGCGAAATATAATCTTTCACTGGATTCTACAGTTGGATAAATGTGTTTATTCAAACACATGAAATATAAGTTAAATATAAGTTAAAATCAATTCATCTCTTAAAAAGTGTGGTCAAAGTCAAATTTAACCAAATTTTGACCTGCTATTCCAATAAAACAAAATAAAAAATGCTGTTACACTTTGTTGGACATACTTTCCTCATGACTTCAAAATTGAAATTCAAGTTTCTTCATATATAAGAAATGCTTCATTAAGAACCTACACTTAGGCCGAGAGCGGTGGCTAAAGCCTGTAATCCCAGCACTTTGGGAGGCCAAGGCGGGCGGATCATGAGGTCAGGAGATCGAGACCATCCTGGCTAATACAGTGAAACCCCGTCTCTACTAAAAATACAAGAAAACTAGCCGGGCGTGGTGGCGGCGCCTGTAGTCCCAGCTACTCCGGAGGCTGAGGCAGGAGAATGGCGTGAACCCGGGGGGCGGAGCTTGCAGTGAGCCCAGATCGCCCCACTGCACTCCAGCCTGGGCCACAGAGCAAGACTCTGTCTCAAAAAAAAAAGAACCTATACTTAATATGTTATAGATCTTTAAATATTCCTAAAGAATGAAAATATACTATTAGTTTGTTTTTGTTTTTGTTTGTTGTTGTTGTTTTTTGAGACAGAGTCTCACTCTGTAGCCCAAGTTGGAGTGCAGTGGCACAATCTCAGCTCACTGCAACCTCTGCCTCCCAGGTTCAAGCGATTCTCCTGCCTCAGCCTCCCAAGTACCTGTTTTTTTTTGTTGTTGTTTTTTTGTTTTTTGTTTTCAGATTGAAAAAGTGTAATGGACTTTAAAACTTTTTTTTTTTTTTTTTTTTGAGACAGAGTCTCGTGCTGTCACCCAGGCTGGAGTGCAGTGGCGTGATCTCGGCTCACTCAACCTCTGCCTCCCGGGTTCAAGCGATTCTCCTGCCTCAGCCTCCTGAATAGCAGGGATTACAGGCACACGCCACCACGCCCGGCTAGTTTTTGTATTTTTAGTACAGATGGGGTTTCACCATGTTGGTTAGGCTAGTCTCGAACTCCTGACCTTGTGATCCGCCCGCCTCTGCCTTCCAAAGTGCTGGGATTACAGGTGTGAACCACTGTGCCCAGCCAACTTTAAAAACTTTTAAAGATGAAAAATTAAGTTTTGAAAGCTTAGGGTTTGCTTCCAGATTTGAAGTTACTTCTGGAGCCAGTAGACCTGCTTTGTCAGCTATACTTTGCTTTTTGCCACTTTTCAGTGTCTTGGCTTAATGGAGACAGGAAAAAGCTATATTGTTCAGCACTGTGACAAAATAGAGGTCACGGAGGATATGGCTTTGGGTCAGCGGAGGATCAGGTAGAACTCTGCTTTGACTTTTGCCACACTTTTGGAGAGATGAATTGATTTTAACTCAAGACTTTTGTATTTTTAAAATTTCAAAGTCAGAGAAAATCTGGAAGAATAATATCAAAAGCACCCATATAACCTTCATGTCTCTAATATATTGTCTTATTTCCTCATGAGTAAATTCAGGAGAAACATTTTTGGCAGGACATCCACGGCGGTGGCGATGTCTGCTTCTTAACTGCAGCTCATCAGGAGTCATACAATGTCAGGGTGTTCCACTTGCTGGTGATGCCACGTTTGATCACCTGGTTAATGCGTGATGGCTTTCAGAGATCTTTGTTGTAAAAGTACAGTATTCTTTTTGTAATCAATAAGTAGTCTGTGAAGCAATAATTTGAGACCTTGTGTATATCCTGTTCCCTAAGAACTTTTCACTGAGGTTTTAGTATTCATGGAAAATCTTTGCCCAAATCATTTATAACACGGTCCTGGGGGTCAAAAGAGGGCTACAAAATCGTGACATTCTTTTTCTACTTGTTTTGGCTGACCAGTTGTAAAGCAGAGTTTCCCCACATTTCTCTTTCTCTCCTCAAGTGTCCTTATGCACTCATGGATTCTTCTGAAATGCTTTAGAGCCTATTTCTACACAGTACCCTTTTGATGGCCTAAACCTAACCATTTTATTGAACAGGCCTTCAATTTGAAAATGACTGGTGCGAAAATGTTTAATTTTAGAATTTTTCATTAATGTTATTTCAGAGTATTGAATATCATTTGAGATATTTTTGTTATCATAATCATAGACATTATGGCCAAAGAAATACCATGTTGGCCATAAAGGGAGCAACTGCTAACCCTCACACTGCCAGTGTTCTGCCAGATCACAGCGTAAGCAAGTCCAGAGTGAGATCACGGGGTGGTGGTTCTTGCCCCATTCTGTGTGATAGCCTTGAAGTAGGCATTAGGGTATGGAAATTTAAGAGAGCTGGGCACAGTGGCTCACACCTGTAATCCCAGCACTTTGGGAGGTCGAGGCAGGCAGATCGGGAGTTCAAGACCAGCCTGACCAACATGGTGAAACTCTGTCTCTACTAAAAATACAAAATTAGCTGGGCGTGGTGGCACACTATAGTCCCAGCTACTTGTGAGGCCGAGGCTAGAGAATTGTTTGAACCTGGAGCAGGCTAATAAAGCAACCAGGAAGCAAAACAGCAGAGGGAGGCAGAGGTTGCAGGGAGCCTAGATTACGCCACTGCACTTCAGCCTGGGCAACAAGAGTGAAACTCCGTCTCAAAAAAAAAAAAAAAAGAAAATTT